TTTTTCACGGTCAACACCTTCCAGAATTTTTTTTTCCTATTCACACCTTCCATTTTTCAAAATCCGTGAAAAACCCAATATTTTAACGGACCATCACGGCACCGTTAAAAAATGCACTACGTGGCACCCAGAAATTGACGTGGCACATGCGGCGTTTCTTTATTCGTTAGTTTCAGACGTGGATATGTTTTTTTATGATGTGGCTTCTTTTTTGCACACGTGGACACCACGTGTGTAGTGAGACCCACTGCACGGTTTTCCGCTTGTCCCCCACGTCCCCACCAAAAAAAAAAATTTTTTTTTCCGAAACCCAGAGCTGGGTTCCCTGTGAGGAACCCGATCTGGGTTCCTCGTCCCCAGATCGAGTTCGAGCTGGGTTCCCGACTCTGGGTTCCTCGTCGTGAGGAACCCAGATCGGGTTCCTCACAAGGAACCCAACTCTGGGTTCGGCGAGGAACCCAGCTCTGGGTTCGGCGAGGAACCCAGCTCTGGGTTCGGCGAGGAACCCAGATCGGATTCCTCACCAGGAACCCAGAGAGGGTTCCTCATGGGTTCCTCCCGAGGAACCCAGCTCGAACCCTCTGGGTTCCTCACATGAGGAACCCAACTCTGGGTTCCTGACTCTGGGTTCCTCGTCGTGAGGAACCCAAATCGAGTTCCTCACAAGGAACCCAGAGCTCCTGTTCTAAATTTTTTTATTTTTTTATTTAAATAAGCCACATTATCAAAAAATAGCATCCACGTTGGATTACTAATGGCACATAGTGATCACGTCGATTTTTGAGTGCCACATAATATATTTTGTAACGGTATCGTAACGGCGCGTTAAAATGTTGGGTTTTTTACGAGTTTTAAAAAGTTAAGGGTGTGAATAGGGAGAAAAAATTTTGAAAGGTGTTGACTGTGAAAAAGAAATAAATGGAGGGTGCAAATAGGGGTTTTGGCCTAAACCAAACTACAACTTTTTTTTCAAGGGTTGCATAGGAAATGATGCCCTTTTTTCCCTTTTTTTGGTTGGCATCAATGAAATAATGCTTTAAATTGAGGATTTCCACGCGCTGCGCAGACATTTAAGGTTTAAAAAATGTATATTAAGGATATTGTGTTTTTTTTTTCCCCGAAAATAGGCAATGGAGGATGTTGTGTATTGTGATTGTTAGAATTTTAAATATCATAGAATTTAGGATATTAAAATTTAATAAAATAAATAAATTGTGTATTTAAATTTTTATAAT